AATAGATATTTGGCTATAAAAAATCAAAAGGTATCTATGGAATATAATTTTTTAAAAGGGTATTTATTTAAAATAAATAAGGTATCAACCTTTGCTATAGAAGGTAACTATTCCATAAAAATAGGCTAGTCAATAAATAGGCAGGTCATTGACCCGCCCAATAGTAACTTGGGTTTGGGCTAAATTTGGGTCATAGTCTAACCCGTTCAACTCTTACCAAGCTTTAACGAATGCGTATTATTTTTTTATGAATTATTTAATTATCAAATAAGACTTTTTTTTCTTTTGTTATGGTCATATATAACATATCATTAAAAAAAAAATTATTTTCGAGATATTTTAGCAAAGTTACTCATGGATCAATATGGACTAAAAATCGGCCCAACTTTTGATGGATTGAAATGGGTTGGGTCAAGATGGACTGAGTTCAAGAAATTGGCGGGTCAATGACCAGCCCAACCTTGGATGGGTTGGGCGGGTCAAATGAATTTGGGCTCAAATTACCGTCCTGCATAACATTTACATGACTTTGACTAATTTTGCTGATGTATAATTCTCAGTTAGAATTTTGATTATTTATGTAGTTTTGCACTTTATGAATGTTGCTTTCTGATAATTATATTTTAGCCAATGCCAATGATCAAATAATTGTTCCACATTTGAATTAAAAATATATCATGAACTAAACCACGGGATATAATTTCGGATAGAAGGAAATGTATTCTTTTTCACATTTTTAAGCTTGTTTTCTTTTGCAACCCCTTTTAATGTAATTGGTTTTGAATGAAATTAATTATTATTTTCCGGTTTTTTAGTTACTAATATATGATAAAATCATCACTTAAATAAAAATCAACAGGACCTATGATGTTTGATGATAGAGAGTGTAATGGTAGCTTGCCAACATTGTCTTCCAATCCATATGCATACACTAAGGTGAGAGACAAAATAATATGCTTTAATTTGTGGTATACTATTTTCATCAACGTATCTATCACTAACTTTCTGAAAGATATACAATTGACTTCATATATGTGCTAATACATGAAATTTTAGGTGGCAAACATTATATTTGTAGATTTCCCAGTAGGGACTGAATTCTCGTATGCAACTACAGCAAAGTCAAATCATTCAAATAATTTACAAGCAGGTGATCACGCTTATCAATTTCTTCGTAAGGTAAGTTTAGACTTCATTTTGAAGCCTTAATTAGTGCTAGTTCATTAATGAATTTCAATTTATTTATATTCATATGTACTTATTTTGACATGGAAAGTTTGAACTTATATGGTTTTGTAATTTACTAATTTTCTATGGTATTTTACAGTGGCTAATAACTGAGCACCCGGAATATCTCAATAATCCTTTTTATGTTGGTGGAGACTCATATAGTGGAATTACTCTTCCTATAGTTACCCAAGTGATATCAGATGGTAAGAAATTAAACACAAATTTAGGTTTATGCACTGACAGTGTAAATATTTTTTATTTGGTCAGTGTACAGTTTAACCTATATCCTTGTTCTGAACATTACTATGTAGTTCCCTTACATTCCCCGTAAATCTAAGAGAATTATTACTTTTGGAGTCACCATTAAAGGTCATTCGATTCAATTTCAGAAATTGGATTTTTCGATTTTGTTAGTTGTTTGGATTGGGTATTGGCCCGATTGATTCACTACTAGAAATCCGCCTAAAAGCGACCGCAAAAAGCGACCAGAGTTGGTCGCTTATTGGCTAAAAAGCGACCAAAAAGCGACCAAACGGACCTGGTAGCTATATTGATGGTCTCTTTTATTTAGGGACCAAAGTTGGTCGCTAATTAGCGACCAACTTTGGTCTCTAAGCTAAATGGACCAAATATTCCGGATATTGACTATAGAGACCAACTTTGGTCGCTTTATTAATTTAATAATATAAATTTGGCGACCAAAGTTGGTCTCTAAATATAAAATACTTTTTTTATTTATTTATTATTAATCATTAAGAAGCGACCAACTTTGGTCTCTAATCCAAATATTATATTTTAAAATCTG